CTTCCTTTACTTAGCTCCTGAGGCCAATGATTATGATTCATTAGCTGTTATACAATCTATGAAAGGAAGCTGAATACTACAATCAATTACAAAAGGAATCCTCACAGGAATCCAGATTTGTTTTGGTGGTAGTTTATTATACAGGGTCCCCTCTTTGTTTGAGGGAGGGGGGGGAGCCCCCCTTTACTAATCAGAATCCAACATTACTAGTAACAAGGTGCCTGCCCGTGCCGCCATCCCAAGCCATCCAGTCTACCCCGCTGAACAGTCAAACTCTTCCGGTGCCATTCGCCGCCGTCGCGTCTGTCTGACCGGTCGGTCGTGTGTCGATCCACTGGACCGGTCGTTCTGTTTCGGCCGGGTTCAGCAGCGATTGACGGTCGTTCTGGAAGGCCCAAGTCGACTGGTCAACAAACATCATGGGGTTTGGTTGGCAATGTGGATCTGCCCGGAAATCTCAAGTAAGCCGACTTCAAGAAAGCATGGACTGCAATGAATCCTCCCGGATTCCCCCAGGTCTCCTCATTGGGAGGCTATAGAGAAAAAAACACATGGTGCCCTCAAAAACGAGATATGTCCATGCATGGCATTTAGCTGGATGAAGTCGAACTTCATCCCTTTTGCCGGATCATTTCCTGTGGATGAAGACCAAAAATACAGTTTGAGAATGTTTGAGACAAACCTTTCGAATCCTTTGGTCCGATGTGCCTGCTTGCGAATCACGTGCATGACATGCACCTTGCAAAACATGCACCCTGCAAGCTTGTATGGACCACATCAACCTGGACCTTAAGGTGTCTGGATGGATCTTGGAGGGTTCCGTTCTCAGGAGGTGAACGGATGATGAGTGAAGCCTTTAGGCTCTTGCTTGACTGCGTCGACGGTTCTTTTTGAAGGGTACAGCACAGGCACAGGAGCACGGGCACAGGAGCACACATGGAGCAATCCAACGGCAACACATGGAGCACAGGCACACCCTGCTCCATTCCACTCCCTTCACCGAGGGGCGACGTTCATTGGCCACCAGGACATTTTCCAACTTCATATCTCGATGGATTATGCCTTGACCTGAGACGAGCTCACGGTTCACAATCCGATTGGTCCCGGCTTCCGGGGTGGAGGCCTGTGTGGGGCACCGTGTGGGGCACGACCAACGCAAGGATTGTGAACCTATGTGAACCTTGTAGTTCGTTGGATTCGTGGGGGTTTTGGCCCTGTTTGGCCAGAGATCCATGTTGCTATATAAGGTTTCCCTCAACAAGGAACCAATCAGTTCTTGCATGCTTCTGCATGATCGCACGAAGTCAACTTCGTTCGCACTTCCCCAAACCCAAGAGGTTGGCACGCAGTTGAGCCCCAAAAAGCACCTCAAAAGGGGGCTACCATCAAGGGCCAAAAGGCTTCAGCAACGACATCAGGCTGACGCATGGGGTTTGGGAAGCCGCAGTTTGACCATGGCGGAGGCTCAAAACTGTAAACATTTCCCAGCGCAGTCGGGCCTGTTCCAGTCCCCAACACCCCAAGCTGTAGTTTGGTGACCCAAGCTGTTGATGCTCTTGAGTGTTTAAGGATGCTTGAGATTCAACATGCTTAAAGGCGATTGCGGGGGGTTCTGTGTCACCCACCACACACACCGAACTGACACCACCCAGGCGCTATGCAGAAACGAGAGCCCCTCAGCCAGTTGCGATAAAACAAAGGAGGCCTCCCGCTCCTGGCTCGCGGATGAGCTTCTGAACATGGGCTTCGTGAGGTCTCTTTCGCATGAAAGGGGGTTAAAGACAACAACGTGCTGAGCCAATTCTGCAAAACTGGTTGAAACATGTTGCAACTCACGAACTGGGCACTAGCAAGTCTGGTTCTATGTTTGTTTCTTTCTGGCATGTTTCACCAAAATAGATAGAAACGGTGTCCAATACCTTTTGAAAGGATGTTGCTCTTCTATCATATCTATTTCGGGGTCTCTATCATGCGTTCCTGGAACATCACCAACCCGACGCACAAATGTCTGCATCCACTCCTGCAGGCGAGGCGGCTCGCGCGTTGTGAGGACGGTGTAGAGGTCTCCACCTCCAACGAGCCTTGGGAACTCGACCGGACCCCTGCTGTCACGGCCAAGTGGGCGAACATCGGCGCCTGGCTGACGTCAAGTTAGACCGTTCAGTGAGTGGCTTCTCGACCCAAAGAATGAGCACGCAAGGGCGCGGCTACTCCAAATAATGGCCATAATAAAGTGCCCCTCCACCTCTTGAGAGGCCTGAGGTACATGTCATGTTCTCACCAGGCAGCTCTAAGACCAGAAGAAACCAATCGCCTTCCTCGAAGGTATCGATCAACCTCAGCACTCGGGTCTGCAAAAGTGTGCATGGTTTGATGTGGTTTGTGGGATGTTTGTGGTTCTCAGGCAGGTGGTGACATACTAGTGGTCTTGCTCTCAACAAGACCTGGTTCTGTGAAGCTCTGTGTTTTCACCCTGCTGGTGGAAAGGTCAGCTTCATATGTGGCTTGCCAGCTATAGGTGCTAGCTATGGGGCTATCAGTATGGATATGACAACTCTGAACAAGTGCACGATTTTCCGCACTGACGGCCAGCTGAGTTGGAGGGGGGTCCAATCTGTCTGAAGGAATTTAGGATCTATTTTGAGGACACTGAACTTCCATCTCGCCGCACCTAGCTGGTTCACCTCACAAACTATCTACACCCCCCACCATAAATGTGGCAAACTCTTGTTACAAACCGGAACAGCTCTCTTTCCCTATGGCCATGCCAATGGAGGTCCTTGACGCCGCGCCAAGGACCTCCAAAAACACCCACGTTTTCTCATTTCAAGCGCGAAAACGCGCGAAACAACCGCGAACACGCGAAGAATCGGCGCCGCGAAAACCGCGGGTGCCGTCGCGGCACTGGACGATATTGGGATGAGGAGGCAAGCGTTTCAGGATCTCCACCTGCGTCATTGAAGCAGTCCCAGAAGGAACGTCAGTGATTGGATATATATATATATATATCATATATATATACATATATCAGCTGGGCAGTTTGGTGTTAGAGATTCATGGCATCCAAAGATGGGATGCCAAAGGCGTGGACCAAAAGAAAGGCCGAAATGGCAGGAAGAACGGAGGGTGGTGAAAAGGACCTGCAGGGAAACGATGTGCAAAAACAGCACCGTTTGGATGGGGAGATCATTCAGCAGGGGTGTCCAGGGCTATGGTTTCCATTGCATGTTTGTTTCTGGGGAATTACTGTGCTGTTCTAACATGTTCTAACTATTTAGGGACCACTACCGCTTGATACATCAGTTGTATAAGTTCCGGGGGGCATCGTCTCCCGCAACAGACCGACTTCCCGTCTAAACCAGCAACTCCGGATGATCTCAGCTCGGACATGGGGGCAGCTCAAATCGATAAAACCAGTGTCTCTTGCAGAAACCGTGGATGAGTGGGATGAGCTTTCAGATGATGACCCCACCACAGAGGTCCAGAAAAGTGGAAGGAGGATAAGGAGAGTGGGGTCTCATGACGAATTCAGTTCCGTTTCTAGGAGGAGCTTGCGGTCTGAACGTTCATTCCACCAAAACCCTACCCAGGTGGTGTTTCTGAGTCCTTTCCCTTTCTGCCCCTTTTTGGGTGTTTCTGCATGTTTCTGCTGGTCAATGCGGTGCCTCCCGACTGAGCTTCTTCTCCTCGCGCTCGGCGTTGGGCTGCAGGTGGAGCCGTCGCAAATCCACGGCCTTCACAGCGAAGCCGCCGCCCTCGGTGCCCTTCTTGTGGCACAGGAAGACCTGCAGAACAAGGTGCCGAAGGACCCGACTGTTCTGGAGACTATCCCCTCGGTATACCCCAGTAGGGTCCTACTAGTATAGAAGGTCACTTAACCTCTCTTGATGTAAAGAAGGACGTCCCGGACCACTAACCGCGAAAGAGCCGCGTCGGGAGTCGGGACGGGAGTCCACGAAGTGTGAAAGATCGGTGTCATAGATGTCACACATATGTACATGTCATAATTCCTCTGCGACCGAGTTCTACATCACCCAGATTTTTTTCACCAGTAGATGGTCCACCTCGAACACTGAGATCGCATGAGTCGGGCGCTTCTCTGTTGCGCGCACGGTGGCCAGGACGAGGGTAAGTTCCAAAGATGGTCCAATTTATTCAGAATACCAAGGAGGACCTGTTCTACCTGCAAGAATGGAACATATCATCTACTTCCCTAGGGATCCAAGTACCTTCTCACAAGGTACTTGGACCCTCCAAACCTACATAACAGCGCCTCCAATCACCTTCTGAGAAGGTACTTGGATCCCTAGGGCTTGTTTTGATGTATAGAAAAAATTAATATGTTTGTTTGAAGCTACTCAACTAGAAATCATCCGCAAAACACTGTAACACATTACTCTGAATTCATATTACCTTGCAATTACCGCTTTACCTGGCCATGTGAGGCTAGAACTCGGTGTCAAACAGTTTTGGAATCTGGGATTTCTGTGGAGAGAAGCCATTTCACTCCTAAACTATTTGATGGGCCATCTCTTCGATTCTCTTGGCACAAATCTGGTGCGGGCCACCTGACCGACCTCACCTCCCCCGCCCGGAGCCCGCACGCCCAGCACCCCACGCCTGGCCCGATGCACCACGTCCCAGCTCACGACCTCGCCGGTAGCCGTGGAAGTACAACGGCGCTCCAGCCTGGCGACCGTGGAGAAGGACCGGTAGCGGGAACGAGTGAAGACCTGGCGATGGGTGATTGGATGAGGTGTAGCTGTAAAAGCCCTTGGATACGAGCATATCATGAGTATCCTATTACCCAGGTTTCAGTGGACGATGGGGCCTGGTTGCGGGCCTTTATTTCAAACAATCTCAAACATAGTGATGTTCTTGTTCACCAACTGTTAGTTACAGGTAACAGGACAAACCCAACATACACCTAGAACCCAGTTGACCCCTGTTTTGATAGAAGTTTTCACCATATTTTGGATGCTTAACAATCCAAAATTAAAATAGATGTCACAAACAGCTTCTCTTAGATGATGTATATATATAAAGATGTCGCCATACCCCTTTTTT